AGAGAGTGCATATGACTTTGGGATGGACAGAACTCCAGAGATAGGGTAAGTATGAGGGACCGCTTGAAATTCATTAACTCTGGTCTGGGCTTCCTGCAGTAACCACTGTGACCATTGTCAACCTCTACCTGGTGGTGTTCACACCATACTGGCCTGTCACTGTGCTTATTCTCATCTGGCTGGCTTTTGACTGGAAGACCCCTCAGCGAGGTAAGGGTCCTGCTGGTGCTGTGTTGCCACATGCTCTTTCCCCTTCTCTCATCACAATCCTGAGAGGCTCTGGCCAATTCCCAGACAGCCCTTTAGCCTGTCCCTCCCTGGGCTAGAGAGGCTGAGGGAAGGGGTCCTTTTAATGTGGTAGAAAGGCCCAGATCAGAACTGGAGTAGGTTAGGGGAGGGGCAGCTAGTGAAGCAGAAGCTAGGCCTGTCCTAAATTGCCCTGATATGCCCACCTCCGTTGCCACTTAAGAGGCCAGGAAACAGCAGGGGGTGAGAGCATCCTAGGGCAGGCCCACAGTGGGAATGGACAAAGCTTGGCTGCATTGCCTCTGTTTTCAGGCGGCCGCCGGTTTACCTGTGTGAGGCACTGGCGCCTGTGGAAACACTACAGGGATTACTTCCCTCTCAAGGTCAGTAGCCCCAGGTCCCCACTCAGGCCTGGGCTCAGCCCCGACTTCAGTGCTAGGAGTTGGGTCAGGCTAGGGGTGGAGGGTGCCATCCACATTGAGGCTCTTGAGAATGACGCCCCCTGGAGTTGTACATTGGGCAATCTGCATGGCTAGACCTAGCAGTCCTTTTCTTTTCAGATCTCTGCCCAAAAGAGGAGTTCTCTACCCTGGGGATAGCCCTCCTGATTCTACTTTCTTCCGCAGCTTCTGAAGACTCATGACATCTCCCCCAGCCGCAACTACATCCTCGTCTGCCACCCTCATGGGATCTTGGCCTTTGGATGGTTTGGCCAGTTTGCCACAGAGGCCTCAGGCTTCTCCAAGATATTTCCTGGCATCACCCCTTACGTGCTCACACTGGGAGCCTTTTTCTGGATGCCTTTCCTCAGGGAATATGTAATGTCTGTAGGTAAGTTGGCTCCTAGGACACAAAGCCAAAGAAAAAATGGCTCCCCAAGGGAGAAGTGTAGGGGGATGCATGAGAGCAAGGCCAGCTCCCGATCCCCTCTGGTCTGAAACAGCTATCATAGGCTCACCTGCCTGATGTGAGGCTCTTTGCACTGTCCCTCCTTTGAAGCAGTAGAGAGGAAATGTAGGGGTTTGGGAAGTGGCCAATGGCTGTTTGGCTTTTTCTCTCCACCAGGGATCTGCTCTGTAAGTCAATCCTCCATCGACTTTCTGCTGACTCATAAAGGCACAGGCAACATGATCATTGTGGTGGTTGGTGGACTGGCTGAGTGCAGATACAGCCTGCCAGGCTCTTCCACCCTGGTCTTGAAGAACCGGTCTGGTTTTGTGCGCACGGCCCTTCAGCATGGGTAAGGACAGCTCCAGTCCAGGCTGGGGGAAGGGATCCAAAAGTGTTGCAGGGAAAGAAGAAGATGGGGTTTTGAGGAAAGGACATCCACAGAGAGAGAAGGAAGTATACAATACATTCTTATGAACTATGGTCATCAGGAAGATAATTTTTTTTGTCAATTAAAAAAATAAATAAGTTAAAAAAAAAAAAAAGAGGGAGGAGGAAAGCCACCTCTGGGTTGAAGAGCTGAGACCAGGTCCTGGAGGCGTTTCTGCTGAAGTAGAAAGGGCAGAGGGCCAGCCCTCATCTGGGCCGGTCCCTCTATACAAGGGGACTGGCAACAACTCTGTCTCAGAGAGAGCCAAGCTTAGCTTGTGTTAAAGTGAAGAAAATCAACTGGCATGGCCCTTGGGTCTTACCTTCCACCGTTTCAGACCCAGGGGTTCCCAGGAGGGTCTGAGCTTGCCTCCTCCTTTAGCTTACTACTGCTTTGCCCCCACAGGCAGCCAGGGGTAGGCCATGGAGCTCCCAACTTGGACCTAGGCACAGCTGGACTGAGGTCTGGGAAGCCTGTAGGCAGACCCAGGGATCACGGACCGTCAGCGTGTCTGGCATTTGACAAAGTCCCTACCTTTCTGGGCTTCACAGGATATGCTTTTGCTCTGCAGGGTGGCTCTAATACCTGCGTATGCCTTTGGGGAGACGGACCTCTATGATCAGCACATTTTCACACCTGGTGGCTTTGTCAACCGCTTCCAGAAGTGGTTCCGGAGTATGATACACATCTACCCCTGTGCTTTCTATGGACGTGGCTTCACCAAGAAATCCTGGGGCCTTCTGCCCTATAGTCGGCCTGTAACCACCATTGGTGAGTGGGCCTTTCTGCTGGCAGCCTCAGTCTAGGACACAGGATCTAGCTCTGAGGCTGAACCTCAGCTCTGACTCTGCTCAGAGGCAGGGAGGCTGGCTAGGATGAGTGGCAGCTTTTTGAGGTGAGGATGGGGATAGTCTGGGCTTGAGGCCTGGGGCCTATTCTGAGGAATGAACTATTCTGATGCTTTTCTCTTTTCCTTCATTGTCTCCCCTGGCAGTCGGGGAGCCTCTACCAATGCCCAAGATTGAGAATCCAAGCCAGGAGATCGTGGCTAAATATCACGCACTCTATATTGATGCCCTACGTAAACTGTTTGACCAGCATAAGACCAAGTTTGGTATCTCAGAGACCCAGGAGCTGGAGATAATTTGACAGACATCCCCAGCAGCCTTCAGCCTGGCTGGAAGGTATGGACCCAGTGAGAACAGGAGGACAAGAGTCACCTATGGGCCTCCTGCTCCTGATTTGACCAGTCCTCCTTATGGGGAGGGCCTGTTCATTTGCTTGTTTTCTGCACTCCTTTTCCCACTTCATTTCTTTTTCCTTCCAGCTCTTTTCTGCCCTTTCTTCACAGCTACAGGAGACAGAGTCCCAAGAAACAGGGAAGAGCCTAGGGGAGAGGTGCCCTGAAGGCACTTTGGTGCCAGCATTGAGGAAAACAATGGACAAAATAAAAAGCCCATGTTCTGATACTGCGTGTGCACCCACTCCTCTGTTTCGAGGGCTCTGGGATCCCTGCGCATGTCTCTCCTTCTCTAGCTGTCAAACAGCCCCATCTCCTGGCATTGAGCCCCATCTCCTGGCATTGAGTCCTACTTCCTACAGGAGTAGGACTGGGACCTGCAGAGCCAGTGGGCTTTGAGTTCAAGCTCCACCAACTTCAAGCCACGTGACTGTGGGGCAATCAGTCATCTCTGAGCCTCCTTTCTTCATCTATAAAATGAGACTAACAATCTGTCCCCTGCTTACCTCAAAGGCTGTTGGGAAGATGAAACAATATTGGATGTGATTGAACTTTATACACTGGAGAGCTACGTGAACCATTTTCTTTTCCAACCATCTTCCTCATTTCCTGTCCCTGAGCAAACAATGCCCTAAATACCCTCTGCTACCCACTAGCCCGCACTCAGTTTCCGCCTCATAAAGCTATAACAGAATAGGTTGGACTCAGGCCTAATTTTCTCTGTTGTTCCCTCAGCAACTTGCCTATACTTGCGTGGCCCTATAATTCTGCCCTTTGTTTGAGAGTCAGCCAGCCTGCTCAGGATGGAAATGAGGCGCCTAGCTTTTAGCAGCCATAAAGAACTCTCCTTCTGAATGGCAAGTCTCTCAGACTCTTGGTCTAATGGCTGTTGCAATGACAGGTTACAACATTTGGCTCACAGCCCTCTCATTCCATTCCTCTTGGGTGGGTGCCATTTGGTCCAGTGATTTACCTGCATTACGTTCATCAGTTTGGTCTACAACATCCTGCATGTTTACTGCAGTGTGAGCTGCTGCCTCTACCCTGGGTGCCTGCCTCATGTGATGATTTGTATACAGTGGCCAGAGACATGCTTCTGCTTTTCTGCTGTCTTTGTCACTTGTTGTGCCAGAGATTACATTTTCCCTGAGCTTCCATAAAGTGTTTTTAAACAGTCTGCAGCTTTCCTGTGACTGGTTTCCTTAAAAAAAACAAAACAAAACAAAAAAACTCTAAGGTGGCTAGAGGACCAGCCTGGGCTGCAACACCCAGCCCATGCATACCTGGCCATTGCAGATTTGTCGTGGTCTACTGTGTGCACATTGCTCCACCTATACGATGGCATGGGGGTGGGCCCGGGGAAGCCAAAAGATTGGTGGGGGCCCGGGGCGAAAGGTGCTGGGATTGTGAAAAGCGCCAGACCTCTCTTGAGCTACGTGTTCTTGAGCTGCTATCGGGTCTTCTTCCTGTGAGCCTCTTCCCTATTGATCTTAGCTCAGGATGGATGGAGGGCAAAATAGGCAAATACTACTTTTCCAGGTAACAGCAGCCTTGGCTGGGAAGGAATCAGACCAGGCTGACACACTTACTAGTTGGGTAACTCTGGGTGAGTGACTTAAATTCGTTAAGTGTTGGTTTCCTCATATGCAAAATGAGCTGGAGGCTGGGTCTACCCAAGCTATCTGGGGCCCAGGCCTGAAGTGTATTTTGTAGATGCCACATTCTTAAGCTGAGAGTCAGTTCTGTGTATTGCTGCCCCCGGACAATGTTCCTTTTGGCAGGACATCTAGCCTGCTTGTCATGTGGTCACAGAAGACCTAAGGCAAGCTTGTCTACCCTGTGGCATGCGGGCCAGGACGGCTTTGAATGGGGCCCAACACAAATTCATAAACTTTCTTAAAACAGTATGAGAATTTTCTGTGACTTTTTTTTTTTTTTTTTAGTTCATCAGCTATCATTAGTGTTAGTGTATTTTATTTGTGGCCCAAGACAATTCTTCTTCTTCTGACCTAAGGTAATGGGGATGTGGGAGTGTGGTCTGAGGCACAGAGAGGATGTGGGATGTTCCAACAGGAAATTCAGACCATCTTCCTTCTGTTGCTGCCTTTGAAATGGGTGCCTTGGTCCTTCCCCTAGCTCATGTGTGGCGTCATTTGCAAAGAAGCACTTAACATGTAGGAAGTGCTCACGCGGATATCAAGAACAGATAGGGAAAGCGCTTTATTTGCAAAGAATAAACCATTAATTTACACAAACTTACATCCCAGTTTATATACATTATATATAGTTTATATACACAGTATCTCACACTGGATGCTGACCCCCAAAAGCAGCATTGGGCCTGCTCCAGGCCATTCTCACAACAAAGCCCACCCCCTAATATCAGAGCTGGAGGAATATAGAAATGACACACCCCGAGCCCTCCTGGAGAGAGACCTGAAATGGATTAAAAGACAAAAATCAGCTTTATTCTTTGTGCTCACAGGGCCTAGAGAAGCCTCCAGGCAGGGATGGGTCCTGAGGCAGCATTACAGTAGCCTAAGGACTTGCTGGTACTGGGCCAGTCTCCTGCTTTCCAATCCAGAAGCTAGAGCTGGGAGAATGCCTTGAGAGGAGGAAGAGTTCTGATGAAGGCTGCAGCTACTCCCTGCCTGGCCAGGCTCCTGAAAGGGCCAAGTACTTCCATCCTGGAGTTTGTGGGTGGAAGAAAGAAGATGGCCATGTGGGACAGGAACTGCTTTATCCCCTCAGTCTGCTGACTCTAGAGGTTGGGGCTTGTTCACCACTTGGGGCAGGTCATCTTCCCTCTCTGGGCCTCAGTTTCTACATAAGTAACAGGGTGGAATCTAGGTTGGGCTAGATTCCCTCTAAGGGCCTTTTTAGCTCTAAATTTCTCTGAATCTATTTGCGTCCACAGGAAGTTACATAAACACACACGCTCATACATGGATCAAAGTCTTTGTTTACCTCCAGGGTTCCTAGCTCTTTCCTGTTCAGTAAAAGAAATTTGGCTCAGGATGGACGAAGCGGGAAATAGGCAAATACTACTTCTCCAGGTAACCAGTAGCCGAGCAGCCTCCACCAGCTGTCTTTTGTGCCAGCTTGGCTGTTAAAGCCCAAGTAGCTGGCAGAGACTCCTGCCATGCAATTCTCCTTCAAACCTCTGTCATCTGCTTGCCCACAAATGTCCTTGTCCCATTCTCCATGCTAGCATTGGTCCTCTGGCAAACTCACACCAGCATAATTCCAAACTGTACATCTATTTGCACATTCTCTCATCAGTAAATTGTTTTGTCACTTTGCCGCCAATGACTTAGCAGCAATAGGGCTCCCCAGCTACCTATTGCTTCCCTCATCATCCCTTGCCCCCTGGAGTTCCTTTGGAGGGTTCAGAATGAATCAAGGGTCCAGTGGAGATCTTATTTCCTTTATCATCCCCTCCATGTCCGGAGAATAGAATGGTATCAGGATGCCCTTTAGGGGCACAATTAGGAAGACTTTTCCTCCTCTCTCCTCACATCTTTCTGGCCTCAGAACCAGTCCTCTTTCAGGTCTTCCCTCCATCCCTGAGAGACCCTGGTAGTATCAAAGTCTCTAAGGTATGGTGGAAAGAGATAAGGAGTCACACTAGTAGTTGTGGGAAGCAAGCTGGCTCCTGTAAGCTGTCTGTAGGGTAATGGAAGGAGGACCTTGCCCACAGTAGGGGCTCCACACATGATGGTTGGCTGGTTCCTAGGATGGGTGAAAGAACATAAAGGCCACCAGCTCTGTGGGTCCCAGAGGCCTGCTGCTTCAACAAGGTGCCAGAAAGATTCTTCTGAACACAAGAGCTCTAAGGTTGATGGCTGCTTCCCAAAGGAATGCCTGACTCCTTTTGCCACAGAGCCCCTGGCAGCCAAGAGGACAGGTATTACCGTCGAGGAATGAAAACGGGCATCTCTGGGCTTCTCCCTAGAGCCCTCAAGGATTTCAGTTCCAAATTACCACTTTTATTCGTTCTCTCTAGACCTCAAATTCCACACAGTGCTGTGGTATAATGGAACAACTTTGGAGTCAGACCTGGCTGAAGCTCCAGGTCTGCGGCTTAAACTGGTCAAAACGCTCTGAGAGTGCTACCTCACTAAGCCTCATCTAAACAATGATGTTTGTCATATTATCAGCCTTGCCTTCCTCAAAAGAGATAATAAAGGAGAAATTATTTTCCAAATATGAAGGAGAGGTTCTTGTTGGTTTCTGCTACAACTGCAGACTGTCCAAGGCACTTTATAGGAGTTAGGGACAGACACATGCCTGGAGTTCACCTCACCTTGGGTTGCAAGGCTGTTGTTAGCAACCAGACAATGGAGGCCTAGCCCATCACCTCTCACCCTGACCCTTGAAGGGCCAAGCAGTGTGGTTGCTTAGAAAGGGAAGGCACAGCTGAGAAATAAGTACCCTCTGTTCTCGATGAATTTCAGCTGCCTGGAGGAACTTATTCCCCATCTCCTGAAAAGGAAACATATTTCAGAAACAAGAGGAGCAGACTGTACAAGGCTGGCCTTCCCAGGTTTGGGCTGGACCTAGCACTCAGAAGCCAGGCTGAGCCAAGGCACTTTGAAGTAAGGCCCTCGAGGGTCCTACCACATGATCTGGTGGGAAGCTTGGGGTTTAGGGGAAGGTGCATTTGGACCTGAACTAGGGGGCAGATCCCTGCTCAGTGCCTAGACACTGGCTTCTCCTGAGTCTGGCTTCACAGGAGCAGCATGAGCATCTGTGGTGACCATGCTCTGCTATGGCTTTTTGAAGCCAGAGTGAAGAAAGACTGGGTCAGTATGGCATCAGCAGCTGGCCTTTCAGGTAAGGCCTGGCCTAATGTCCACTTGTGTTGCAGCAAACTGGAACAAAATCCCTCTGTCCTATCCTCACCCCTTGCCCTTTCTAGGCCAGGTAAAAAGGCTCTGCCTTGCTAATGCCCAGGAGCAGCCTAGGGTTTGGGAATTTAGAAGGCTGTGGTGAGGGCCACCTGCTAAGAGTCACAAGTACTAGAAATTGAAGGGACTTCTGGAGGTCATCCAGTCCAACCCTTTGTCTCCAGACAGAATTGATTAGGAATGGATGAAAAACATTTGTACTGTTTAATAAACGAAAAATTCTCTTTGTGCCCAGGTAAGCTAAAGAATATCCCAGACTCACATGAGCACAGGTCCCAGGTTAGGCACCTGTCTCAGACAGAGGTAGGCTCTGTGGAGAAAGAAGGCAGGAGTTCTAGTCAGGCTGGGAATGGGGGCAACTAGGTGACCCCAGGGAGTTTTCTGAGTGTGGAGCACAGCTGTAAATAAAATGAGAGACGTGTGACCCAAGTACGGATTCAGGGTCTTATGCGGGCAGGTTTGTGGCCATTCCCTGTGATTGTTCCAAGGCAGAGCAAACTTCCCCTTCCCAAAGCCCAGCAAGCTGCCACAATGTAGCTGTCAGCCGGAGTGGGAAGAACACTCCGACCCTCCTGCAGGCCACAGTATAGAGCAGAAAGAACATCCCCACTGCCAAGGATGCTCTCTTGGCAGGTTTCTCTCATGGTCTCTTGCCAAAAGCACCTGCCTTTTCCCTCTCTGGCCTTCTCAGGCTGCAATGCTACCTTCCCACTCCGCCCCCACCACCACCCTACCCAAGAGAGGAGCAGCAGCCCCTTGGGGTCAGATGTCCACCCCCAGAGTCTGGAGTGCACCTCTGCTCTCTCTGGCCTGCTGCCCTGGATCCTCATTTTAGTGCAACAAACAATAGATCTGACAACAGGGACCTCGGGGTTGAAGAGTCATGCCATAAGCCAGTCAACATGGAACCAAAGAAGGTTCTGCTTCATGTAAACCCTGGGGCTCCATCAACTGTCCTGTTAACTCAAGGTCATTCTGGAAAGTCAAGCAGGCCTTGTCACCCTGGAGTCACTGGGGAATAAATAGCACTGAGGCATTTCTCTCTGTGGCTGCAACACCAATATACCTCACTCCACAGCAGCACTTAGAGGTTCTGGGAGTCCTGGCTCCCAAACCCAGGGAAGGGGCACGGACAGAGGCAAAATGGGGGGAATCTAGGATGCAGGGGCTTCACCCAGCCTGATGGCCCCAAAGAAGGTGGTGTGCTTGCTCATGTTGATGGAGATGTCAGCGTGCACCATCTTGACGGCGATCTTCTGCCGGGCTTTGAGGAGGCAGACGCCTGCGGTATAGCAAGTGTTGTAGTTGGTCTTGCCCGTCTCGATGCTGCGTGTGCACTGCAGGAAGGGCTTCTCATCCACCACCACCTCATAGCTGGCAAAGTCAGTGAAGTTGATGTAGTATACCTGAGTGAGAGGCAACAAGAAGGGATTGGGGAAGAGAGGAAAGAGAGGGTGGGGGGCCCTCCCTGTGGTGAATTGACAGAATCTTCTCAGATGAGCTGCCAGCATACCCCATGGATGGGGCAGTGCCATGTGAAGGCGTGCTAGCTGGCCAACAGGAAAGGCAGGGTGACAGGCGGATGCATTGCCCTTCCCCTAGTCCATGGGGCTCAGCTGGTTGAGCAAACCTTTCTTACAACAGCACACCTGTCGTAAACTCTGTAAGGCTAAGAACCATGCCCTATTTGCAGCTTCACCGTGCCCCTGTACCCCCACCCGCCCCTGCCCCAGCTCTGACACAAAGCAGAGTGCCCTGCACATAGCAGGTGTGCACACAGTGCCGTAGACACAAACCGACTTCCACTCTTGAGCCCCGCGGACTATTTGTGGAGAAACTTAGAAGTCACTGATTCCCCAGAGGGGTCATATAACAACTTGCGATTTCTTCAGCTCCTTAACAGAAGCTTATTCAGCTTGCACCACCCCTCCCCTGTGCCTGGACTCCCCTCACTGATTCACAGTACCCCTTGAGCCTCCCATTTGATGATTGAGGAAACAGGTCCAGAGAGATGGAGAGCTAGCTACCGCAAACAAGACAAAGAATTTGGAAAAGCCCAGGCCCCTGACTTTGTGGCCAGAAGGAGGCACTAACTTATGCTCAGTGGCCTAATGTCATGGGGATTTTCCCAGCCTGCATGGGCCACTCTCAATTCTCTCCTAGGCTCAGAAAATTAATTTTTCCATCCTTCACTACCCTTATCCATCATACCTCACACCAAGTTGTGATCTGCCCTCCCCCACCACCGCCCCCACTGCCCCCACCACGTGGAGCTTGGCTCATAGGACATCAGGGTTATGCCCATGTGCCCCATGGGTGTTGGGACTCTCAGATATCACTGTAAATCTTTTTATGAAAGGTCACTCCCTCCATCAGCTCTTCAGCTGGGAACAGCATATTTGGGTGCCACATATGGATCAGGACCCAAGCTACACCGGGGTGCTCAGTGTGCCTAGCAAATGCTTGTTAGCCCACCTTTGCTGGCCGCTCTCCTGTGACACCCATGTGTTGGTTCCATAGTCCTTCTGCCCACCTGCCTGCTTGCTGCCCACCCCACAAAAGTCCCAACCTCATGGCTCATCTTCCTCTATCTCCAAGGAGCCATCCCCGTGGAGGCAAACAATCGGGGAATGGAAGTAGATGGACACTGGCAGACTTGGGGAGCGGGCCCAGGGCAGGAAGAGGACAAAAGCAGAGGGAGAAAGGGCTGGGAGAATAACAGCAGGAAGGAGGCAAGAATAGAGGAATAGAAAGATAGGGAAACAAATGGGAGAAAGAGGAAGGAAAGACAGTCAGAAATCTTTTTGAGGTAGAAAGAAAGTCTGCAGGAGCACTATTCATTATAACGCCCGAGCCAGCAGTGTTGAGGGGAGGGGTTCTCAGTAACCCTGGAACTGACTTTCAAAGAATATACTGAGACCAAGTTCAAGTTTGGCAGTGGAGCCAAACAGCTCGGAGGGTAAACAGGGGCCTGAGGCCCTGCAGGAGGGAATCAGATGGCAGAATGTAGGAGGGGCCTTTTTCACAGTTTTTCAATAATATTTGGCTAGGGAAAAACAAAACAAAACAAAACAAAACAAAACAAAACAAAACAAAACAAAACAAAACAAAACAAGCTGGCCTCCTCTCTCTTTCCTTCTTTCAACTCCCTCCCAGTGCGGTCCCCCCACCCCCTCACCCAAAGCAGGAAGTTAGCCATTGGATGGTCTTGGCTGGCTCCACAGTGCCCCTATGTGGTCTGCACCGGATCTGCATTCTGGATATAAGAAGAGTTAGGCCTAAGACCGTACTCACTTCTACCTGACTATAGATGAAGTAGGTGCCGTCCACCAGTACCTCCAGCTCCCCGCTGCGGGGATGTAGCTTAAACACCTTGGGGTTCATAGTGATGCGAGACCAGTCATTGAGCACTCCACCTGAAAGATCTCAGTATGAGAGAAGGGCAGTCACTCAGTACATGTCAGAATAATCGAGGCAACAGAAAATAAATACCAAGGAGTTCACGACCCCCAACCCTATCCCAGTGCAACCAGGGTAGCCTAGAAGGCCAAACTTTAAGAAGAGCATTTGAAAGCAGAGAAGCTGTTCTGTTTGTAAAGCAGCTGCCAGGCCTGCTTCAGGGCTCCTGGGCTCCTGTCTGTCTTTATACTTCCTTTCTTGACCCTTGCATCTGGAAGGGTCTTTAACCATTACCTTCTAGCTGGAATTTGCCGGAGGAGGATGAGAGTCGGCATGCTGCCCTATTTTCTTTGTTGTTATGGGGCCTGCACAGGCAAAATTCAGACACTGAGTGGCAGGCTAGGTCTTATTATTCAATTTTACTTTCCCAGTCAGAGCTCCTGAATTCCTCTTGTCTCATAGGTTCATGGGTTTTCTCTTTCTCCTTAAGAGATTCTTTTTTTATGGTTCTTCCACACCCACAGCTTTCTGGAAAGCCTCCCTGGGAGGAAACCACTCAGCCCACTGTCTATCTGGAGAACCTTAGGGATTAGAGATGATTCAGACTCCACGGCAGCTGGGGCTACTGACCACCAGTACCAGGGCCCCATAGGTGAGAGGGATCCTTATGAGAGTGAAAGATAGACTGGCAGGCTGCAACAGAGCCAGCCGGGAGGATAGGAGCCGAGGCACCCTTGGCAAAACATCTGTCTCAGCTCCACCCCAGGCAGGGGTGGAGGGGCAGTCGCATTCCTTTGGACAGTGGAAGCCAGCGTGTGAGGGTGGAGGAAAATCTTCTCTTTCCATCCTGCAGAAAGAGGAATGTTCCCTCCCACCATGAGAGGAGGACATCCAAGCCCAGGGAGCCTTTTCCCTTCTAAGTCATCCATCCTGCACCCAAGAAATTATATTTTGTAAGTCCATCTTTGGTCAGTTTCAGTAGGCCTGTCTCTCTGAGGGATGAGGAAACAGGTTTTCTGGAAAAGGTGACCATCTTTCCTTGAGGTGGTAAGTAGACGGGCTGGGAGTTAGGAGGAACTGCCCTGGCTCTGTCCCATCAGTGGACCACTCTGCATGACGTCCTCCAATCCCTGACCCCATCACTTCTTCTTCTTCTTCTTTTTTTTTTTTGAGAGGGACTGTCACGCACTCTGTCACCAAGGCTGGAGTGCAGTGGTGTGATCTTGGCTCACTGCGACCTCCACCTCCCGGGTTCAAGTGATCCTCCTGTCTCAGCCTCCCGAGCAGCTGGAATTACAGGTGCGTGCCACTATGCCCAGCTAATTTTTGTATTTTTTGTGGAGACGGAGTTTCACCACGTTGGCCAGGCTGGTCTCAAATTTTGGCCTCAAGTGATCTGCTCCCCTCGGCCTCCCAAAGTGCTGGGATTACAGGCGTGAGCCACTGCACCCCACCCCCATCACTTCTTCTGGTAGTACTAAGGGTCAGCACAGACCACTTCTGAGGATTGGCCCAGAGGGGCTGGAAACAATCCTACTGTGTGGCAGTGGGAGCAAAATCAGTGGCTGCTGGCACAGAAGAAACACTATCTGTCTAGATACCCAAACAAATCTATTTTGGCCTGTCTCTGGCCTCCCTGGACAGGTGGGGATCATGGCCCACTCAGGGCCTTGCGGTCCCCAGCAGGACCAATTGGGTTTTGGTGCCATTCTCTTCCTATTTACACTTCTGAGGCTACTAAGTCAGACATGGAGGTGGCAGTCAGGGAAGTAACTAAATACAGTCATTAAGGAAACTCAGTACAGCCAGTTCAGGACTGACTGAGTTCTTAGAAACTGTCCCCAGGTAGCTGTTTTTTTTTTTTAACCTTCCTTTACCGTTTCTGTACTCAAAACCCCTCCCTTCCACTCCAAGCTCTGTAAGCATCTAGCATTTTGGTTAGCTTGCTGCTTCCCAAGGCTCCTGGGGGTTCACGCATTTTAGGCTTTGTGCACTCTGGGGACTGGACATTATTCCAAAGTGCTGTTCTTTCATGAATGTTCATGTCTCTTTGGGGGAAGAAAATGAACCTTATCATTCAGTGGAGTGTACATACATATCACTGAAGTAGCATAGGGGAGAGGAAAGAGTCAGAAAGATGTAGTTTTGAATCCTGGCTCCTAAACGAACTTGACTAAGAAATATTGGGAAAGTTAATTAACCTCTCTGAACTTCACTTTCTGTCTTTGTAAGAAGGAGCTCATACCTACCTCATAGGGTGGTTGTGAGGACTGGATGAAATTAAAGACAAAGAAAGCATGCTGAAAACTCTAAAGTATCATACAAAATGAGGCAGCATGATTTATTAATGTATTATCCAATCTCTCTGGGACTCTGTTTCCTCATCTGTTAAATGCGGGGATTACGATAAATCAGTGCTTCTTAAACCCATTAAACACATTCTCCCTTTTGATAGACACTAGCATCTTCAACCCCCTGGAGATTCCAACATGCCCCACTTGCCCTGAGAGAAGCAGCCCGTCTGCCCATCTGCGTAGATCCATCAGACAAGAAGAATTTAATTTTACATTGTTTTACTTTCTATAATTTGTATTGTGAAAATATTAATCTAACTACACATATCTCCGTGGTGGCTCTGATATAAACTCCATCGCCTGAGAATGCCTGGGCTAGATGATGTCTCAAGTCCCCTTTCAGCTCCGCAATCAGTGATTCTAAATGCAATTTGGGTGTAGCAACTGGTCTTGATGCTAGCAATTGCTCAGGACAGCCAGTAGAGGGCATGATGGAGCAAAGAATGACTTCGTATGCCAAGGGTACCTCAGGGCCCTGGGAGGAACTAGGCTGGGTGATTATTTGGAGGTTGGGGAGGAGGAAGGGGAGAAGCTCCTCTTTGGGAGAGAGCCTATTTTGATTCTTACCATTCTTGACTTGAATTGCTGACCCTTGGCCCTGTAGATGCACCACAGCTGGCTGGCAGGATGAGAAGGATAGAGAGTAGTCACTATGAGTAATGGCTGCTTGCTCAGTCACCGGTCCCATGTTTCCATCCTGGTTTCTAGTCTTCTATTGTAATCCAATTCTGATCCCTCTCCCCTCTCTTGGGATGTTACTGACTACGTTTCTACTAGAGGGTAGTATGATTTTGTAGCTCTACCGCTTGCTAGCTATGTGACCTCAACCAAATGTAATGCCTCTGAGCCTCATTTCCCTAACTGTAAAATGGGGATTATAAGAATGTCTGGCCTCTCTCACAGGGATGTCTAAAGATCAAATGAGGTGATGGATATAAAATTGCCCTGCAAGCCGTCAAGCACTGTGCAGCTGTGTAGATTTATCACTGTGGCCACACAGCTGTGGCGAGGGAGGCTGAGATGAGACAAGGCAAGGCAGCAGAACCTGCCAATAGAGACAGATTAGGAAGCTCAAAGACTGGGAGGAGCTCTTCAGGCCATTAAGGCAGACGCCCAGGCTAGGCTGGGCCTGGAGCTGGCTGGCTGTTTTTCAAGGACATACTCTTCAACTCTTCAGGTCCGGATCCCAGGTGGTCTGAGAGCCGACAAGGTGTCTGGGGTGGCTGGGGAGTTGGAGGCTCAGGTGAATAGGTCTGACTGGCAGCTTATTTCAGCTGACTACTGGGCCTGGCTATGGTGACCCTGGGGTCTCCTGTGGAATGAGGAAAAATGATCCTGGCAAGACACCCTTTCCTTAGCTAAAAACATGCCCTGGGGCAAAGCTTTTCTATTCATAGAGATGGGAGGGGGCTGTGAGTGAAAACCCTCAGAATCTCCAGGGTGTTCTCATGAAATAAAGCCTCAGGAAATCTAATAAGAAGCTAATTTAAAGGTGGCTCTAGCCTGTGGCTTTCCTTCCTACCCAAGAAGAGAGCAATCCCCAGCCAACCTGGTTTTCTCGAGTTCCAGCTTTATCAGCAGCACCTGCAAAATAGGACAGGCCTATCAGAGGGCATAATCTTTTGACTTCCTTTTCCCCTCACCTGAGCAGCTAGTGGTGGTGAGCCGTGCTCCCTGCAGCCAGCCCTGTCTGAGCTTTATTCTCCAGGGCTTAGAGCTGGAGGAAGAGTCAGAGTGCACCTCTTCTGTTTCCTGCCCCGACCTTCATCTTCAGTGGGCCCAGCACCCAGCAGGAAAACTTCTGAGTATTGCCTCTGGCCAATATTAGCCCAAGGCAAGCCCCACCAGGCACCCATGGAGAACAATGAGAGGGCATTCCTGTCACTGTGTGACCCTGAGACAATGGCATTGGCTTCTCTAGCCTTTCGCTCCCTTTCTATCAATTTTCTTCATAGAGCCCACTGCTGTTTGTAAATATCTTGTTTCTTTGTTCTCTTTTCCTCTAGGAGATAACCTCTATGAGAAAAAGGACCATGTATCAATATGTCTCTTTGTATACAGAAAGCGCTCAATATTTAAGGAATGATTGGATGAAAAAAAATCCCCAACTCCATCTCTTGTGGTCATGGTAACACTGCTTAGCCCTGTGTGAAGTACAAGTTAAAGAATCTGAATCCTGCTGCAGAATTCTTGCCCCTGGAGAAATCAGCTGTAAGGGTCCATTTCTTTAAAGCCCCAAGATACAGGGCGGGGGAGTGGGGAGCAGGGGGAAGAAATAACAACTGACATAAGCCCAGGCAGTCTGACTCTTGTCAATGCAGGTTTGGATCTGCATTCATACCTTTCAGATGCCTTTCAGGCATCTGAAGGAGAAAAATGCAAAGGGGTGAAATGACATTTGAATGGCAAGTGTGGTAGGGTAAGGATCTAGTGCAAGAAGCACTTGGTTCCTGGATGGGACAGCCTTGGTGCCTGGGTTTGCTTTATCCACAGACTGAGTGACTCTTAAGTTTCCAACTTCTTGACCATTAGTGACTACTTGCTATGGGAAAAGCACTTCAGACTTCATAAGATGAAACTGTCCTAGGGCTTGTCATTTTGTTCAGTCCTCAACTTTCCACTCCATAGCCTGTTTCTATGCAAACATCAGCATGTGGAGCTAGATGCAGGGAATCAGAGAAGATTAAATCTATTCCCCACTGGAACTCCAATGAACCACCAGGGCCTCTGTCTCTGGCTCATATGAATTTTACTGGTCCACTACAGGGAGGCCAAGAGTCAGGGAGGACTTGTGATAGAAGGGTTGAGATGGGGTAAGAACAGGTGGCCTGTCCTTGACAGGTTGGTAGATGTAAGAAGCTAGAGCAGGTCAGGCCCTACTGGCTTGTTCAATTCCTAGTTTTACACTGGTCTTGGAGAGCTGCATCCCTCATTGCACACCAACCCCATCTCCACCGTTTGAAACTGCTCTCAGGATCACCCACTCTTGCTCTCCTAAAGTACTTGTAAGGCACCTGGTGGGGTGGAAAGACAGGGGAACTCACCAGAAGGTCCCTGGAGGCCAGGGGGTCCTTGAGGACCAGGAGGACCTGGAGGACCAGGTGGTCCCATAACCGTTGTTCCTGGAATTCCAGGAATCCCTGGAATTCCTGGGGGTCCCTGGGGTCCTGGAGGTCCTGGGGGTCCTGGAGGGCCATTAGGTCCAGGAGGTCCTGCTTTCTTTCCTGAAAAATAGGGTTCAGTGTTACTTTTTTTTTTTTTTTTTTGAGATGGAGTTCTGCTCTGTTACCCAGGCTGGAGTTCAGTGGTGCTATGTCGGCTCACTGCAACCTCCACCTCCCGGGTTCAAGCGATTCTCCTGCCTCAGCCTCTGGAGTAACTGGGTTACAGGCACGTGCCACCGTGTCTGGCTAATTTTTGTATTTTTAGTAGAGATGGGGTTTCACCATGTTGGCCAGGCTGGTCTCGAACTCCTGACTTCGGGTGATCTGCCTGCCTTGGCCTCCCAAAGTGCTGGGATTACAGGCGCAAGCCACCATGCCTGGCCTCAGTGTTGCATTTGTAGTTATTTCCTGGATGAGTGGACTGTCAAGAGTTCTACAGACTTCTGAGGACACAAAGTCAGCTCTCTGGGAGTCCCTGCTAAAGAGTTGGATACCTTTATCACACAGCTCTGTCTCCCTGTCTCTGTGTGTCTTGTGCTTTCTCTCCCTTCCCCCCACTCCCTTTTGTGAATACGCATTTACAAAGCTAGGTTTGAGCATCTAGAAATAAGTGGCCCTCCAGGAGATCAGTCTGTGTCTGTGGGGAAACAGACACAGTAATGGGATAGTAGAAGTGCTACCTTAGTGGGTAGGGACCAAATGCTGAAGAGGTCAGGGAAGGTTTCAAAAAGGAGGTTACATTTCAGCTGAGTCCAAAGGATGAGAACTACCAAGTGATTAGACCTATGGGTCACTTTGTGGTTCTTTTTAGAATTGGGCTATTGTTGAAGAATGTAGAGCTTTTATGTTTGCTGCCCAGTTTGGTGGACTTGATGTCGATAACAAGAGGAAGCTGTACAGCCTGGCCTTAGGAACGGTATCAGCTCCAGGAAGGTTCCTCTAGGAGTCAGGATGTACAGGAAATGGGGGTTGGGATGGGGACAGTGCTAGTTGGGAATGAGAAATGGGAAGGAGTTTTGGAGATGGGGGAATGGAGAAGGAGGAGGAGGGGCACGGGAAGAGGGGGAGGGAGAGAGAGATATCGAGAAACAGGAAAGAAGCAGTGACAGAGAGTAGAGAGAGCTGAGGAGGAGGCAGCAGGTTTCACTTTCTTAGCTGACCTCTGTAAACTCTTTTTAAAAAGATCTCTGGGAAAGGAAATTCTGTAAACTCCATAGTAACATGTTCCAATGTTTATTGCCCCTCACTGCTCACTGTTAGGAAGTTCTCTGGTATATTAACTGATGTCCCTCTTGTGGCAGTTTAAGCTCTTATTCTATTTGCGTAGACAGAGAAGAATATACATATACATAATCCTTATATATGAAAAGAAATTAAGTCACCCACCAACCCCTATTTCTATAGGCTAAATAATCCAGCTTCCCAAAGTCTTTCCTCAGAAGTCCTATTCTCAAATGTATTACTAATCATGCCCACCAACTCTTCCCCCATTTCCTCCTTGCTATCCTTCTAGAACAATCTCGACCCTCCTATTTCATATTCCAGTCCTTTCAACATTCCCACCAGGATGTAGTTATCTTAAATGAGTCATAACTGTGGTCTTGAACCAAAACCTCCAGCTCCTCCTGTTGACTTCCTCTGCTCTGTGCTGCTACACTCAAAGACTACAGGTGGGCGCAGGTCTTCTTCCTTCCTTCACCACCTTCTCACAATTTTATGGAAAGTTTCAGGAATGGAAGCCTGTTTCCAGACTTCATCACAATGTCTTCACCTGAGGTAGTTTCTTAGTTTTAAATACAACCTTTCTAGTCTCACTAAAGACCTTCTTACTGACTCTGACTTCCAGCTCCCCAGACCCTTAGGCAGGAAAATCCTGTCCTGATTTATCAGGTCCTCCTTTAAGAAGAATGCCTCATGGCCAAGAAACCAAATCCTCATGGCAATGCCACTCAAGAGGCCAGTTGTCTATGTCTAACCACATCTGCATTTGGAATAAAACCATGGGGTCATCGTGGGGCCTCTTCCTCAGAGAGGAAGGAAAGGAAGGTCCAGAGAACATCTCTCCCAGAAGAGTCCCTGTAGCCTTAAAGACCTAGAGGCATGAGCTTTAGAGGTTTCTCTGCACTTAGCAGCAAAAGATTGGATCTGCCCCGTTTCTAGATCTAGCCAATTTCAAGATGCTGAACAGGAAAACCATCTCCCTTCAGATTTGGGCACCTTCCAAATCAGGCTTATTCAGAGCCCAAGTTTCAATTCCAGCTAGTGTAGTGGAAAGAACACAGAATCTGTACTCAGGAGATAAGGATGTAAGCCCCAGCTCTGCCACAGACACACTTTGGGCAAATCCCTTCCTCTCCTTGAGCCTCAGTTTCTACATCTGTGAAACAAGGAGCTTGGCCTCAATGATTTCTCTGTTTCCTTATGAGACTGACTGAGCTTCCATAAGGAGGGGTGACTTACCACTTGCAGTCAGGAAGCTTCCTTAGCCTGGTTGTAAGGTTTGCTTCTCCCTCCTTATTTTCTAGGTGGCATAGACACAGAGGTTGGTGCATATTAGGCTGTCCTGGGTCCCAAGATTTCCAAGCCTAACAGTGATTTTCAAGCTACAGGGTGTTCTGTGGGTAGCACAAACTTCAGCTTCAAGAATGTGAGTCTCCTGTAATTGCTAATGTAATTTTGGAAGACTTACAGCCAGAAACTCCTCCAGTCCAAGAGACTAATGGTTGCAGTGAAAACAGAATGTTCACTTATGAAAATGTTAGAAGGCATTTGAGAAAAAACTCCTGCTTTGTTCCAGTTCTGCAGCTGGTCCTCTGTTCCTCTGCAACAAGGGTTAGGCAAGTGTGCTTCTCACACTTGTATACTTACACAAAGTTGGGCTCAGAGAAGAGAATGTACAAAATGACCCCTGGAGCAAGAGGATAACTTCAGAGGATTGACTCCCTTCTCTGGATTTCCTTACTTTAGCAGAACACCTTATGATATAAAAGCCCAGAGACGTCTGTACTTAGAAACATACCCTATGTAGTGTTAGATGAAAGAATATACACATTTCTTTCAAAGCTAAACTTCATCAAAGGAGTATTTCCTTAACCTTTTAGCTAAGCCCCAAATGAAAGAACAACCAAAAGTGAGTGAATGAGTGAGTGAGAGAGAGAGAGTTGTGGAAGGAGGAAAATTCCATTAAAGGGTGAAAATTAAGTGAACAATTCAATTTACGTCTTCAAGCATGTGCCTATTCACCATATCCAAGGAAATCCATATTAAATGGCTTCTAAATAACTTTCAGCCAAAGTAAATGTTTAAGGCCTACGTGCACTCTCTTCTCAATAATGTCCAAGGTAGCAGTGCCAGGCAATGATCTGAGTTATAATTTCTGTTTTAAAGGGATGTGACAAGATTTAAGAACTACATGTTTGAAAATCAAATCTACTTTCTTAAAAGACAGAACATCTTGGTGGTAAATGCCCAGGCCCCACAGGGAAAGGTTTCCTCACTGACTCCAGCTCCCTGGCTGTTTTCCAACCTTGCTCAGCTCAGGCACTCAGGAGGTCAGGTCATTCCTCAGCTTCTTTACAACAGGCACACAACTTTTCCATGTGGACTATGATACCTCAAGGCACCAGAGTACCCTAGTGTTCGAAGAAGTGGCAGACTGCAGGTGAAGCCAGTCTTTTGGCCTAGTCTGGGGTTGGCAATCTATTCTATAAAGCTCCATAAATCTTACCACACAGCATCATTTCACTTAAAGCATTTTCATGAAAAATCATTAGTTTTACTCTGTCTTCCTCCCAGGTCAGAACCCAGAAACAAACAGGTGCTTTAGCTAGTTTCATAATTGGGTTTTTCAGTCCTAAGTAGTAGACCATATTGCCTGGCCCTGTCTTTGGAGACTGTTCTGTCTTTGGATTGATTCTCCTCTTTTAGTTAAGTGAGCACTTGTACGTGCCCTAGGGCCAGTTTCATTGCAAGTACACTGGGGACTTACTGACTCAACAACGGCACAATGGAAGCTGCTTTGAAAAGACTAAACGGTCAGGGTACTATCCCAGAATAGCATTTTCATTACAGAGAAAATGATATTGAATCCTCAAAGCAAGAAATACCTTCCCTGACTCTTTGGGAAATCAAATCAGGGAAGCTTTAAGTCCAAGAAACAGGGTGCTGACATCTTTTGATAGGTAGCGTATCTAGTTCCTACATGGTGACTCAGGATTTCATTCATACCCAATCACTGATTTGATAAAGGAGGAAAAAAAAAGGATAAAAGCGAGTGCCTGTAATCCCAGCTACTCAGGAGGCTGAGGCAGGAGAATTGCTTGAACCCCAAAGGCGGAGGTTTCAGTGAGCTAAGATTGCGTCATTGCACTCCAGCCTGGGCAACAAGAGTGAAACTCCGTCTCACAAAAAAAAAAAAAAAAAAAAAAAAAAAAAAAAAAAAAAAAAAGATAAAAGAAGAGCAGGGAGAAGAGTAAGGAAGAATGAAAGAAAGAGGTGAATCATCACTAAAGAATGATTTCTTGTTCTTCAGAAACTACAATACTCAAGAAGATAACATATTGAATAAAATAACGGACAGACAATGCTGAAAGAATGTAATACAAAAATCGTACTCTTGATTTTTTTTCTTCTAATTTTAGAAAAGATACGACAAGACAGCAATTTTATAAAGTAAGGAACTTACCCTTTTTCTTGTTTTTAACTGGACCTATATGAAAAAGAAAATAGAAAATTAAGTCATTAGAAATGAACAGAAAATGTTTATTTTCTAAGATAGTCACTAGGAGGGATCCCCAAGACACTGCAAATTTGAGGGAGTCTCACAGTCAAGGGTCAGGCTTTTGGCAAGGATCCAACTATCAAACCTCCCCATTCTGTCTTCTGGCTCTTGAGGCCACAAAACTTTCAAGGAAGATTTTTCCCTAGGGAGAAAAATCATTCTACCTCAGTCTTTGGGGTGAGGGAATGGGTACTTCTCCATAGAGATGAAATGCCCAGAAACGCACAACTCAACAACCTTAGGACGGCATTCCATTAATTCTGCAAGTCCTGAGGTTGAAGAGTCATGCATTCAGGTGAGAATCTGATATGAAGTCTCATGTGTTGAACTTGGAAGGAGCAAAGGGTTATTTTCATGGAAAGAGCAGAGCAGCAGTGTTTGATTAACTTTTAGTCACTTCCTTATCATGATTTAATTTGTTACTTATTAAAAGTTTGACCATAATACACTCGTGAGGGCCACATGCATTTCCATTGTAATTTACCATAAGTTAACGGACACTTTAACAGAAATGTCGGCCGGGCGCAGTGGCTTATGCCTGTAATCCCAGCACGTTGGGAGGCTGAGGCGGGTGGATCACGAAGTCAGGAGATCAAGACCATCCTGGCTAACACAGTGAAACCTCGTCTCTACTAAAAACACAAAAAATTAGCCGGGTGCCTGTAGTCTCAGTTACTGGGGAGGCTGAGCCAGGAAAATGGCGTGAACCTGGGAGGTGGAGCTTGCAGTGAACCGAGATCACACCACTGCACTCCAGCCTGGGCGACAGAGCGAGACTCCATCTCAAAATAAAATAAAATAAAATAAAATAAAATAAAATAAAATAAAATGAGAAATGTCAACCATTTCATTGGCAGTGAAATCACAAGCATTTTCTTGGGAATTACTTCTAAGGAAAATAATTCTAATCAATTGAAGGCACTTGGAAAACCCAAGGTGTTTCTAATATAGTTAGGTGACCACAACTCACCAAACAGTTTAGGTCACTCCCAGACAGTCACTTTTTTTTTCCCTTCTAGGAAATCAGTTCTCTTCATTCTATATTTGGATTTGACTTTCTTTAAATACAGGTATTTAAAATCTGTTCCAAACTGCCATGAAGACACAATTATACATTAAACCACTGTCAGTGCCCTCAAGAGCTTACAAAAGGAACACCAAGCATTTTAATATTATAGTTTATAAAACATATTTCCATTTATCATCTCATTTGATATTTGCAACAAACCTGGAATGATCTCTAACTGTAAGAGCAGGCCCTATTAGAGATCAGTAAAGTCTCTAACCTGGAGGGCTGCCAGAGTGGCCATCAGAGCTTTCACAGGTCTCTTGAAAAACCAACGTCTGTGTAGACTTTTCTGGCAAAGTAATTTCATGAGCAACAGTAGCTATTGTTATGTCCAGGGGATGTTTTAGATTGGAGCAACCTGCTGTACTTAAGGTCATGAATCTCAATTCTCTTTTCCTTCTCTCTTCTCCTTTCCTCTCCTCTTAGTTCTTTGTCTTCTTTCTTTGTTACCCATCCTTTATGAATTTTTTTTAACAGCATTGTGAGTTCTTGAGAATGTGCTTGGAAGTTCTGAGAGGAAACCACAACTACATAGACATTAATGATAAGAGGCAGCGACTCAACCTGAGAAATGCCTTTTTCTTGAACAAGAAAGCTGTCTGGGGAAAGATTTACACAGAAAGGGCTCAGCTCTATCAGCCAGCCAGCCAGCCACCACAGCCTAGGAGAGTAGTAGAAAGACAGCCATTATAGCCACCCTGCCCTCTTGGCAAAAGTGTGCTAGCCCGGACCAAGATTTTGACCATTTCAGCTGGTTAAGGGTAAGCACTGTTATATCAGACTTCAAAAGCATGCTTTGAGGAAATCGGGCCATCACCAGCCAACCAGTCCTTACTGAGCATGTGTATGGAAGGCAGTAAATAATGAAACACAACTTACAACTCTATCTTCAAGAACTGACAGTTGAATAGGGAAATACAAAAGATGAGGGGTGGCTTCAGGAATTATACTGGCCATTTAAGGGGAACAAATAGCTTCCTGGAGAAGGTCTGACCTAAATCCACAAGTGAAAAGAGAGAAATGGAAATTTCAAAATCTTTTTAAGCTTCAATTATTTTTATACAAGATATACCTACTCCTTACATATACATAAATGCATGCATACATACATATATGCATAAAAAAGAGGAGCAAAAGGAAAAAGAGCTTATTAAAGTACCCCCAAATAACCTCTACTAACATTTCATGCACATCTAGAAGCCTTCTATGTGTATAAATAGGTATTTTTACAAAATCGGATCAGATGAAAAGTGTCATTTGATAACCTTTTTTATGTCAATAACTACATTTTTACATTGTAATTTTTAATATGGATGCATCAGCGTTTAATCATCTTTGATAGGTATTTAGACTGGATCCAGTTTTTCACTATTATAAACAATGATGTAGTTAATGTTTTTACATATGTAAATTTTTATACACTTGTCCAAAGGTTTTTTTAGGATGTGTCATTAGAAATGACACTGTTGGGTCAAAGGGTGTGAAAAGCTTTCCTTACATGTAATTAAACCTAATAATCTTTTCCTATATGGTTACTGCCTTCAGTGTCATGCTTACTTAGGCCTTCCCTAATGTGACATTATAGGTAACTCTTTATATATTTTCTAGTTCTTTTATGGTTTCATTTTTATTTTTAAATCTACAATTAATCTGGTATAGATTTTGGCAAACAGTGTAAGACAAAGAGTTAAGTAAAATTTTTATATTTTTTCCCTAAAATGCCCATGACATGAAGAGTACCAAGAGAAACAGGGCTCAAAGTCATTTCTTAAACTTTTATTTTAGTTTCAGGGGTACATGTGCAGGTTGGTCCTATAGATAAATTGTGTGTCACAGGGGTTTGGTGTATATATTATTTCATCACCCAGGTAATAAACATAGTACCCAATAAGTAGTTTTTTGATCTTCACCCTCCTCCCACTCTCCACTTGCAAGTAGGCCCTGGTGTCTATTGTTCCCCTCTTTGTGTCCAGATGTATTCAATGTGTAGCTCCCACTTACAAGTGAGAAGATGCAGCATTTGGTTTTCTGTCCCTGCTTGTGATTATAGCCTCCAGCTCCATTCATGTTGCTGCAAAGAACATGATCTCATTCTTTTTTATGGCTGCATAGTATTCCATGACATGTATGTACATTTTCTTTATCCAGTCAACTGTTGATGGACTTTTAGGTTGATTCCACATCTTTGCTATTGTGAATAGTGCTGCCACAAACACACATGTGCATGTGTCTTTATGGTAGAACAAGTTATATTATTTTGTGTATATACCCAATAATGAGAGTGCTGGGTTGCATGGTAATTCTGCTTTAAGTTCTTTGAGGAATCACCACACTGCTTTCCATAATGGCTGGACTAATTTACACTCCCACCAGAAGTATATAAGTGTTCCTTTTTCTCCACAACCTCACCGGCATCTCTTGTTTTTTGATTTTTTAGTAATAGCCATTCTGACTGGTGTGAGATGGTATCTCATTTAGTTTGGATTTATATTTCTCGAATGATCAGTGATGCTGAGCATTTTTTCATATGCTTATTGCTCATGTATATGTCTTCTTTTGAAAAGTGTCTGTTCATGTCCTTTGCCCATTCTTTCATGGGGTTGCTTGTTTTTTGCTTGTATATTTAAGTTTTGTTGGGAGCAAGCCCCCCAAAATCTAGCCATAAACTGGTCCCAAGACTGGTCATAAACAAAATCTCTGCAGCACTGTAACATGTTCATAATGGCCCTAACGCCTGTGCTGGAAGGTTGTGGGTTTACGGGAATGAGGGCAAGGAACACCTGGCCCACCCAGGGCAGAAAACCGCTTAAAGGCATTCTTAAGCCACAAACAATAGCATGAGCGATCTGTGCCTTAAGGACATGCTCCTGCTGCAGTTAACTAGCCCAACCTATTCCTTTATTTTGGCCCATCCCTTTGTTTCCCATAAGGGATACTTTTAGTTAATTTAGTATCTATAGAAACAACACTAATGACTGGCTTGCTGTTAATAAATACGTGGGTAAATCTCTGTTCAGGGCTCTCAGCTCTGAAGGCTATGAGACCCCTGATCTCCCACTTCACACCTCTATATTTCTGTGTGTGTGTGTCCTTAATTCCTCTAGCACCACTGGGTTAGGGTCTCCCCCATTGAGCTGGTCTGGGCAAGTGGTGTCCAGTCATGGGGGCTCGAATCCAGGTCGAAGGGTTGCCAGAGCGACAGTTGGAATGGAAAACTGGCTGGAGGACACCTGAGTACTCTTAAAGCAATCCCTGTGGTGAGTAAGAAGGGGAGCTCAGAAGTGTCAGGGTAACAATGGGACAGGTGTGGGGTCTGGTTCGTTTCACCTTGGAACTTTTTCACACTGATGATGAGGAGGAAGGAGGGTATAGCAAAGTAACAGAAGAGGTTACAGAGCATGTTTATTTACCAGCTAAAGCTAAAGCGGCAAAGGAGGGAGAGGTTCATCCCTACCCTTCTGCACTATCTCATTATTATTTTGAAGAAAAAAGACCCTCCAGATCTTTCTATTCTGGAGGACACTGGGCAAAAAGTAGTTGCCCCAGTGACTGAGCAGCGCCTCGAGCGACCACTCTTAGTTCTATTCAGGCAGGAATTCAGCAAGTTAGACAAGAGGGAGATTTAGAGGCTTGGCAGCTCCCTGTTAGAATACACCCCCCAGATCAACAGGGAAATACTACAGCTACATTTGAGCCTTTTCCTTTTAAATTACTCAAATAATTAAAACAAGCTATAAATGAGTATGGACCAGGTTCTCCTTTTGTAATGGGACAGTTAAAGAATGTTACTGTTTCCAGTCGAATGATTCCTACTGACTGGGACGCTCTTACTTAAGCTTGTCTAAGTCCTGCTCAGTTC